AAAATTTCTTCCCCTGAACTTTTCATCAACAACATCACCTTCGTTTTCTCTATTGCCTTTGGCGCTTACTTGTTCACTGTCACAACAATGGAATGAACCAAATGGATTGATCGTCATAGGCAGCAGCCAAGACTTCAATGGATAAAGGCGTTAGTGTTGGATGTGGCAAGGTGTGGCAGTGTTCCTAGGTCGTGTAAGCCCGAGTCGGGCAATGAGGGGTCTCGGGTCGGATTGCGCCTCGCAAACCGGGGCTGTAGGATTACATCGACAACCGCCAGGCGCCGGCAAACCCAATGAATTTGCGGTGAAATTATATGGCGTCTTCCAAGGTAAGATTTTCCGGGGAATGGGATAGATATTTAACTCTTCGGGTTCCTACACTCTAGACTCACCTCTTGGTTTTGGAAATTCATTCATCGACTTACCCCGCATTATCTTCACAATGCCCCTGGCCGTGATCGAAGCAAGTCCGGACCTGGCGATAGAGCTGGACGTTCCCAACCGGGAATATAACCCGGGCGAGACCATCACCGGCCGCGTCCTCCGGCGAAGCCACGTCGTGTCCTCCGAGGCCCTCGTCAGCATCAAGCTCTACGGCCGCACCAAGGTGCGCGTCGACTACACCACCAACAGCGGCAACGGCAGCCAGCACCACACGGTGCGCACGCGCTTCGACCTGCTCGGTTCCGGACCCGCCTTCAACCGCACCATCTTCAAGGGGCCCATCCACATCCCGCCAGACGGCAGCCGCGCCGAATCATGGCCCTTTTCCTTATCCCTCCCCACGGGGCCCGTCAACCCGCAAACCATCCGCGAGGGCGCCAAGAAGAAGCAGAAATACTCCTTCCTCCCCATCGACCCCGCCGAGCAAATCACCTCCCACCAGCTTCCCTTCACCTTCTACTCCAAGGTCGGCTCCTTCTGGGCCAACGGCATCGAAGGCTACGTCGAGTACGTCCTGCAGGCCGAGTTCTTCGAGCAGCACACCTCGCGCTTCAGCAGCACGCCCTCGGCCAAGAAGACCGCATCGGCAGTCTTGCCCGTGACCATTCGTCCACCACCGATCCCGCCCTTGCTGCCGCACGAGTGGAGCTTAAACCGCTTTATCAAGCGCCAGGGCGTGCGCACGCAGCGGCTAATCCCGGCATTTGCGGAGGGCGACGTGGAGTTATCCTTCAAGCAGAAGACGCTGAAGCTATTTCACTCGTCCAAAGTGCCCAAGTACAGCTTCGACGTGCTGGTACTTTCGCCAGGCGTAATTCAGCTGGGCAGCGTGGATCCGGTGCCATTTCGGGTGGCGGCTGTGCCGAAATTCGGCGCGGCGGACGAGACGAGCGAGGAGGTGAGGGAGCTGGAGAGAAGTCCCATGGTGAATGTTGTTAGTTTGAAGTTGGTGGTCAAGGCGAGGACGGAGGTCAAGGTCAACAGCATGTGGGTTGCGGATCGGTTTATCGATCGGACTGATAAGTTTTTTGAGTGGAGCTGGAACTGGAAGGAAGGGGAGGAGGGGATGGCGTTGCCGGTTTGGGATAGGGGGTTGGCTGCGGGTGCGGCTGGGGCTGTGGGTGTGGATTATGGGGACGAGAAGAAGGGGAAGAAGGAAAAGAAAGAAAAGAAGGGCGAAAAGGAGGGGTTGGGAGGTGGAGGTGGAGGATCAAGCTCAGCTGCAGTTGTTGGTCCAGAAGGTGAACCACCGGCCCGAGATATTGGTGCTGAGATGGAATTAAGGTTCAACCCAATGGAGTTGGTGTATAAAGGCGGGACGGCCAAGATGACTGCGCTCCTGTATCCGGATTTCACGACGTACAATATTCGGAGGACGCATGAGCTGAAGTGGGAAATGGTGTTATCGGTGGCCAAGGAGACTGTGAAGGTGTCGAATAGTCATCTTGTTAGGTTTGTGGCGCCTTGGACATGATCCTTCTAATACATTGCGTGCAGCTTTCATGTTTCCCATTCCGTTATTGTGGCAGGAGCAATGCACTATCTTTGGGATGAGATCGTCGACAACAAATTGACTTAACACGGCCACTCATAAATGTTAGTATAAGGAGCATTGCAGCCGATAACGCGACGAGATGGCAAGCGCTGTGGAAGATGCAGGTAGGCAGAGGAGTATCGAAATGGCAAGCGTGAAGCGCCAATCATCCACGACCGGGGCGACTCGACTCGAATTAGGTCAAAACGAGCTTCCGTCTCCCCAACAACCACGTTCAACAGATGGTGATTTTACCGGCGGGCGCCCGCTTGACCTCCGTGTTGGTAATGCCAGATCTCAAAATGTACTGTATAAAATGCAGCTCAGAACACCACTCGCTTCCCCGCTGCGTAGACTGTCGAGACACAAAAGGACAGGAATTCCACATCTTGCCCATACTCAACTTGACCACCAAAGAACTCAGCAGGCGATATGATTACCTTCATCCAATATACCATCCAGCCTCGTTCCCATCATCGAGCATGTCGTTGTTCCGTCTAAGGCGGCGCACCGGCAGTAAGCCCAAGAGAGACGCAGAGCCCCCGCGCTCGCCGCCGGAAGAAAGCCCCTGGAAAATGCTACCGGAGGTCAGCAGAATACGGCCGGTTTATACTCAATCAGAATTTGAATTATTCTTTGTGATTTCGATCACTCTTGTTACTGACGCCTGCTAGACAGAATTCACTACTAGGCAACAGTCAAAGCACGGGTTTCAGCGTTTCTATCCGGTAATCAATCCAAAACCACACTCAGCCACTGAATAATATCCGCTAATCTTTGGAAATAATTGATCAATTCGAAGGTTCACCTTGTAAGCAAGCAATGAATATGCCCTCCCAATGCCGTCATTTACTTACATGAGTGCGATTTCACTGTAGAAAGTAAGTTGGCACTCATCTGAGCGAGGAGTGATAACTGATATTGACAAGATGTTCTTTGGCGAATAAGAATACCAGGCGCACTGCCATTATGCCACTATTCCTGCAATAAAATGGTTCAATAGTCATTAAATTGATCCTCTGCTTGACCCTTCGGAATACCGTTCGTGCCAACCCATTCGGGTCAAGTTCTCGTACTACCCGGCGATCTGGTACGATTTCAATGACAGCATCATCTAGTCTGCTCGCTCAGAATGACACAAAGATGGTATTGGGCGGCACCCCTTCGAAATTGCACACATGATTCCCCAAGACGGAAGGATTGACCTTGCCTATAACCTCTTCTGGAGAGAGTACATGGACGCCTTACGTTGGCAAATCTACGCAAGCGAAAGGTCTCTGACATCTACGGACAGCAAAGCCCTCCGGGAACAGTTCATGACTAAGCAAGGGAAGGGAGAAATACGTCGTCTTTCAGACTTCCTCATGGAGTTTATGAAACATGGAGAGTTTACGGTCTGGGACTTCAGCCAACGAACTATTGCTTTGTCGGATGAAAATGCGAACCTTTATATATCCTACGTCAAAGAAATTCCTATTAAACATGGGCCACTTGAGGGCGATCCCTATGGGATCAAACAACCCAAAAGTTAGTACCTAAGAATGTTGAGGTTTCTAAATGCTCTAATGCTGACCTACTTTCGGCACTTAGCTAAGGGAGATCTGAATCCTGAATGGAATAAGGTAGACGACATTCCAAAGGACACATTTCCAGCCAGCGGAGGTACCGCTGCTTGGAACAGAGTGATGTTTGTCTTTACTTTCTGTCTAGCGGGTCACGTCATCGATTACCAATACTAACCGCCACGCCCCTCAACATCAGCCATCTTGAGGGCTTCAAAGATGTGACTACGACATCAAGGCCCGTTGACTTTGTGCTGCCCCCCTGGGACTACCGCGAGAACCTGGTAGCGCAAGCAATCTACCGGCATCTAGAATGTAAACGAAGAGGGGGTAGCCGGTTAGCAAACCCATACAAAGAAGCTGCTTATCAGACTAGACCACCCTTCCATGTAACGTTCTACGAGATGGTATCGGACGTCGAAATTTTCTTTGAAGGCAAGAGGACATGTATGACTGTCCACCAAACGAATGAAAGGATCGGAACGCTGTACGGAAGGCAAGACACGAGATCGACCGCTTCAAGGACACATAGCACATCTGACAACGCGAAGCAACAACTTAACGAGAGAGCTTTTCGTCAGAGTGCAGTCACGGTATGCCTCCCAATGTTATGTGTCTACCTTATTTGTGCTAATGCCAACTGCAGATTCTTACGGTCCAGAAAAAGACGGTTCCCGAGGTAGAAGTATGTAAAATGTCATGCTTTGGAGCTCCGTGATATGTGTTACGATCCAATCAGAGAATCCTATGTAGGCTAGACTAGATGACCAATCAGGTAGGACCCGAAGGGAGGACCCGAAGTCCCGGGTCCTAAGCCTGGGTCCAGGAAGGCCGGTATAAAAGAAGGCCTCCCCAGGCCTCTTGTTACCGGATCTTCAGCAAGCAATAGTTATCACAACCTACCAGTACCTTTCGCTACTACTCCGTTACTCTATTGTTCTATCCCAGCGATAATACTCCTGTGCTTGTAACGGTTCGGCACAATATGGTTCTCCCAAACTCACGTCTACTCTGCGCAGATACCGGAGACTGGAGACGACACTACCAACAGCTCTGATTTCAATCAGTCGATGAAGAATTACTGGACGACAGGTACTCACTCCAACGGGCTTCGGGTTTTGGAGATCACTCTATGGCACTTTCTCACAAAATGAGGCTTCTTTGATGGAACTACATATCATCGTCCACTGTTTGAACACTGTTGAAAGAAGGTGAGTGAGCTTGCTGAGATGTTTTGACGAGCCGTTGGACGAAGACTTTATGGACTCCGAAGTTTACACACGTCTGATATTCGACGACGATAAGCTCACTCGATCCAGGCTGTATATCTGGACCATCAGCTGTCTCAACAAGTTCGTTGCAAGTCTTGACGACACGCAGAAGCAATGGAAGTTCTTCCGCGAAGCCCGAATCGACCCAGTCTGGTGTACTGAAGAGGCCACAGACTGGGAGATGTTTGAGCATGCCCAAATACTTCTGAAGGAGGGTGAACGTTCTCGACAAGGTTTGGAGGATATCCAGGCGGAGTTCGGAGCCAAGATTGGCATGGTGCAGACGCTTCGCGACGGGGTAAGACAGTTTAAATCTATTCCCTGCCTGTCCCTTTGGCTGCCAATGCTGACAGCTTTCTCGCACGCACAGCTCTTCAACGCCAGCGCTCTCATAGAAAGCCGCTCCTCAACTCGACTCGGCCAAAACGTCCAGCTTCTCACTTACATCAGCATCTTCTACCTCCCTTTGGGGTTCTGCGTGGTGAGTCCTAAACTCGACTTCATCCAACCCCCCTTTCATTATGACCAGCGGTTGCTGACACACTGCTTGCACTTCAACAGGCACCCTGGGCCGTTCCCAACATCAACGACAACAAAACCCGCATTCCCTTTATTACAACTACCTCTCTTGTCTGCCTTATCACGTTTACCGTTGTTTTTAATCTCAACAACATCGCCAACGCCCTCGGAAAGACGTACTTCAGCAGAAGACAGAGGCTGGTAGATGAGATGAAGGACGACCCCAACTCGGAGTGGCACGAACGCCGCCAGTGGTTTGAGGAGTTCCCCCCGAACAGCGATCGTAAGACTCACTCGGAATGATGGATTGTCCGGTATCAGTTCTCGAAGTGGTTCAGATGAAGAAGGAGAAAAGAAGAAAAAGAGTGCGGAGGGCCAACGTGAGGGGCAGACGCGGGGGATCAACTCACAGTCTCAACACTGCGAGGGAGAGATCGGAGAGGGACTGTCCAACACAGTTGCGGCTAACATTGGAACGGACCGTTTGAGGAATCTGACGTGCGAGGATGATTTGTCTTTTTTCTGGGATAGTAAGGTTTTGTTTTCCATCTTTAAATCGTTGTTTGTTCTTTCGCATTCTTGGTTTATGATATGGTTATGAATCAAAAAAATCCAAAAAATTAGTGATCTAACTAATCTTTAAAAGCAAACATGGGACAGTGTCGTGCGGGGGAACGGAAATAGCTGTTTGTCGTCGCACGTGCATGTAGTGTTGGAACCTTCCCTCAACATCCAATGTGTTTCTGATTCATCATCTTTTTGCTACACTTCTGCTCAAGAAATTTCAAGCCGAGTCCATATCGTCCGCTGTTCATGGCCATATCGCCCGCCGTATGACCCCACCCTCCCACAACGGGGCTGGACTGCTTCCCCGGTGCCCCCAGCAGTAAAGAGATTGGCCAATTTCCCTAGCGCTTTGGGCAGGCATAGCCACATGGATAATGAAACAACGTTTTATTCTTAATCCTTTCCTCTTTAAGCAGTACGGTAAAGGTAGTTGAATGCCGGATGCCGGATGCCGGATGCCGGATGCCGGATGCCGGATTGCGCCGCACTTTTATCCGGACCGGTGCGGTGATCGGAGTCTCCACTCACGGATGTGTGGGTCATTTGTCTCGGGCAATCGGCGGGGTACGTCGGTACCTTGCAGGCCACTACGGGATGTGGCAGAGCATATTTCGTCCATCGGACGGCATAGAATACTTGCAGCACCGTCCCTTTTCCTTCCCTATTAATCGATCTCCAATTCACCAACACCGCACGTTGTCGGACGCCTCCGTCTCTTTAGTACTCTTCCCAACAACACAACTTCCTGGTTCCCGACATCGCATCCCATCCCATCAGCAACACAGCTGCACTCAACAACAGGCATCAATGCCGACCGTCATTTCCATGGCTCATCACCAACCAATGCCGACTCTTCTCCGGTAATTCCAAATATACAAAGGATCAGTCTGTTCGGGATTATGCGGAGCGGAGGGGCGAAGCTGGTCAGTTGACTTATCTCTCTCACCAATGCCGTCCGTATCTTCATGGGGATTGGGTTCAGTCATGTCGACTGGCCTGACTGGTAAGCACATCATGGAGTCGTTGAGTCGACCGAGCCCTTCACCGCCCTCCGATCTCGCGTCTTCCCTCTAGTCCGGTGTGGCCCTTCAGCTCTCATCTGATGTTGCCAACACGGCTAATCACCTTCGGGAAGAGGCCGTATGCAAAGGGAAACCGGTGAAAGCACCAGACCCCTTCCCTCCATCCATTACTCAACAGAGGAAAAATACGTTTGGCCGGTTTGATCCTGTGGGAAATGAAACGCCATTACCGAGCCTGGATTGATTGGTGAGAACATTTTGCTAACCACACCAGGCAAGACGGGTCAAGACCGGCAAAGACAAGAGATGGAGGGTTGACGGAACACCAACCCCCTGGCTGTCGTCCCGTGGCTGCTTTTAGGCTTCTGAGCCGGTGCATTTCAGCTTTCTTATACTTCGACAAAGGACCAATTGCGCCGAATACCAGCTTCGCGGGTCCCCGCCCTTTCAGCTCTGAAGATTTTCTTGGGACGCCCGCGCCGCGGACTACGCCTCTAGCGAAGCCCTAGCGAATGGTGATTACAACAACAGAATGTAACCATGGGAGATCGTTAGCGTCGCTGCGGGCTTGCGGCTACGGCGTGTTTTCCGTGCTAACTGACAGCTACGGTACACTCGCTTCATCAACGCCCTTCAGCAGTTGGGTGTAGGTAGCAGCTTGGCATAAGCTGCAATGTGCTGAAGAATCCCATACCCCTAGCCAATCCTGGCAGCTGATTTGGACATCGATCATGGCGCGAATCCTTCCCTCCAACGTGGCAAAGCACCAACTGAAGGACGACACATCATTTTATACCGGCGTGAGCACATTGATCATGGAGAAATTTGCTTCAGTCTTCCATCGGCTTGCCCGAGATTGCTCAACACCAAGCCCTTCCAGACCTCCCTCGGCGCCTTGGGCCGACCATCCTTACCTCTACACGATGATAATCCCATCTGACCCGTCAATGACGTTTCCCGCTCAACTGGGCTTATATGGGGACTGGCCTTTATCTCACCGCATCGAGACCTCTTCCTTAAAAGATACTTCAGCTGTTTGTGTGTCTTCTACCGCTCAGTGTCACTTCGATCCCAACCAGTTCACGGTGATACTGTACTCCTGGCGGGTATGTGCCTGGGATCCACGGACCAGGCAGTGCACCTCAAAGGCTGCCAAAGATCCTTGGCATATCAGTCCTATCCCTTTCCTTCCTAGGCCGATCACCCAGCCAGGGAGTCACACTTCGCGTAACCAAGGAAGGATGCTTGCCGCACGACCAACACTCTGCTGAGGAGCAAACCTTCATTTGATCCGTCCTCACCGGCTTCGGTTAGCTCGCTCCCACAAGTCCGACGGCCGCCCACATTCTATAAAGGACTATACAGCGAAATAGGCCATGCGCCGCTTCATGATAGGGTGGTGCCATGCCATGTTGCCGCAAATCGTGGGGGTGTACATGAGACCGGCGGGAGGCATAGGAAGCTTGCATGATCTGGCATGTCCTCTCCTGCGTATGGTGATCAAGACGAGCCGATTGGATAGGTGTCCTGCAAAGAGGATACATGCATGAGAGAAGCAATCACGATGGCTCATCAAACTTCCATTCGTGTTCCTGGAACTACGCTACACTTACTACAGTAGGCGATCTTCACAATACACAGGTGTATCCCTTGCCAGGTGGTGATTACTGACATGCCTCCAGATCGCTCATTCCCATAGTTCATGAGGCTTCGCTATCTAAAGCCGTGACGACGACAGCAGCTTGTTCAGCCGCTCCTTTGTTAATCGACTTCTTTATTAGCTTGCTATCGGCGCTGATGACCTCAAAGGCTCTTCACAATGCGGTTTCTCTCGCGTACCTCTGGCGTTGTCGAGGAGGTGTTCGGTGAATGCATGGCTGCCACAAATCTGGCTGTCTCACGAGTATTTGGCTTCCGCCATGAAACAACAGAAGTTGTTCATGAGGAAGCCATTGGGAAGAGAGATACAGACATACACCAACCAATGTCTGATGTCACTAAACGCCATCGGCAAGACAGCATCTCGATAAGGGCCATCGACAATCCATATTCACCCAAAGTATCAGCGACAAGTACTCTCATCGATGACATCAGCTATTTGACAACTCTTCCCAAGGAGCCCTCGTTGCCCTTGTCCGTGGAAGAGATTCTGATCCTTACCAAGCCAACTATCGGGAAGCTGTTTCAAGATTCCGGAAGCGTGGGTGCTTCTATAGGAATCTTGCATCATGGCCACCAACAATTCCTCAACGTGGGGGCACAGGGCCTGGGGGTCTCCGTGCTCCCCGATCAAGATACGGTCTACCTCATCTCATCAATGTCGAAGCCAATCATTTCCACGGCAGTGGGAATTCTGATGGATGACTTTCCGAGATATCAGCTCAAGTTCGACACTCCGGTCTCAACAGTCTTGCCGGAACTCAAAGACAGATCCAGTCTAACGAAGACGTACAGCAATCAAGAGGTTACCATTGCCGACCTTCTAGACCTACGCTCCTCATTTCAATGGCTGACGAATTTGTGGGAGAGCCCCGATGGTGATATGCCATGGAAGACCATTGAACCTATCACGTCCCTTCTTCAGCATCTTCCAGCAAACGACAACTACACGTCCAATGAAGCATTCGTCTACAATCGGAATTATTCCAACGAGTGTTTTGCCTTGTTGGCTGCAATTATCGAGAGGAAGACCGGGTCCTGGGCGGAATTTGTTCGCAATCAGGTTCTGGAGCCACTTGGGATGCACAACACCTTTATCGGGGTGACAGAAGCCGAGAGAAACATCTCCAAGACCTTTGCCAAGTCACATTCGGTCCAGGTGACGGCTGTGCTGCCAACACTCCAGCAATGCACAGATGCAGACGGATTAATCTCCAGGACCAAGGTCGTAGAATGCTTCGACAGACATTACGGCAACATTCCACAATCCGTCGAGATTCCCCCATCCCAAGCTTCAAGCGCCGGGCCTGCGGGGCCTTTGCCACTCGCCGCGGCAGCAGGTGTCATGTCTACCACCTCAGACCTCCTCAAGCTCTACAGCGCAATCATGGATGTCTACAACGGAAGACGAGAGGAGCGGGATAGAGATAGCAAACTGCTCCCTTACCCGGATCACCTCAAGACTCGTCTCGAGCGAGGCATAAACCATCTCTTTAGTCACATGGAGAGTAGACTCACCCCGGATCCACTCAACAACACATGCACTTATACCGGCGGCTGGAACACCGTCACCGTGCCAATGACCCCCGAAGAGCGGAAGGCCTTACCCAGACCACGATGGCCTGGGGCGGATGGCGACAATTCCAGAAGGTTAGAGAGCGCTATTCAAAGCAAGATCCATGGCGATAATTTAGATTACTCCTTCTTCCTCAAAAAGCCTGAGCATCACGCCGTCGACATCAACGACCTCGAGAAGCCTCCGCTCACCGACCCAGAGAACAAGAAACACCTCGCCCTCTATCACGGCGGCAACATGGTCGGTGCCACATCCTTCTGCTGGCTCCTCCCAGATCGTGAAACAGCCGTGGTGGTGCTCTGCAACACGAGAGGTTTCTTACTCGATGCGGCGAACCTGAGTGGGATGTTGTTGGCCGAATGTCTTTATCTGGCTGAGTCAGATTTAACTTCCTGCCAAGACACTGGATCTGTTGTTGTGGCAGTCAAGAAGGCTTGCGAAGACACGGAAAAGATGGCCCGGGCGATACAGATTGACTATCTCTACGATTTGGCGAGGTATGAGAACTCACTTGCATCCCGGTTTCGGAAGCTGGACCCAGCTTCAAGCGGAAGAGATACCGTGACAGCGGGCTTAGAAGGGAGGTACGAACTTACGCAAAAGATTTTCATCACCATCACCGCAGAGCAAAAGGGTCTAATCCTGCGTCTATACGGTGTCGGGTACGGGTACCTGCTCCGCGAAGCCAAGAATCCATCAGAAAAAACAGGGCTAGAAAAGACAATGACGTTCGCCCAACCGATGACAGACCTGATACCAACCGGAGTTGGAGGCGCGAACAGGTTGAAGGTGGAGGACTTTGTTGTGGTGTTCAAGAGGGCGAAGGAGGATGGAGAGTGGGAGGGGTTCGAATGGAATTTTGCGAGGGATAAGACGATACGAGAACGAGGGGACACGAATCTATACTTTTGGCGGAGGTTGGAGGAGAAAGGGGCTTAGGGCCACGGGTTGGATGCATTAGGAAGTGTGTATGTGCAGTTGTTTCTGATGAGCGAAGATTTGTGCAGCGTTTTGAAGTGTCTGTTGGGGGGATTCAGTGGCAGCATTGCGTCTGGCGGTGAGTTCTGTTCGAGCATTGTACAATCTGTATTTTTCGTTGCATTACACGGTGAAAAGCGCGTTTACACTTCCATACACATGTTTCACTGCTTTGTTCCTGCTTGGACGGGTGGGTTATTGCGGAGTGTCATCCGTGGCCTTGGAGGATCATCTGAAGCGCCTACCAGCTCCAGCCGGCCATTCAACCCGCCTTCACATCACGAGCTAATCATTAGGATTGTTAACAAGCCGCTTGCCACATTCTATGACATAGATTGACGACGCTGAAGTACTGAAACTCAACGTTGTCCACAGTCAGCACATGCTGGTCTAGACTCGAACGTGGTGTCTGCCACGTACCCCAGTCCCGTTGTGGCCTCGAGGTAACAAAGCAACACCCTTTCATTTTCAACAGACTGACAATGGAACTTGCCGCCATCCCGCGTCCATTGAGTCTCCATGAAACAAGCATTCGCGTTACCAGCCGCGCACAATGGACATTGAACAATGACTCTTGGCTTTCAGGTACAATGGAGCGGATGCTAACAGTGCTCATGAGACATGATGCGGGAGGGCAACAGTGCTGTTCACCACGGACGGGTTGAGATGCATCGACTAATAACTTGCTCGGAACCCTTGACCTCGAGTAAGTTTTTGTCTTTCTACCTTTTACACGTTCATTTCACTCTTTCTACTTGAACACACGAGTGTTGGCCACGTCCAAACGCTAGTTTCGTTCTCGAGTCTCGACACTCGAGAGACAGACAGACACTCGACAAGTCAAGTGTCAAAAAGAACAACGCAATCATGATCCCCTCAGCAACCAGGGCAGCAAAGCAGGTCTTTGCGCCCCTTCTCGTCCCCCTTATTCTCTTGATTACCACGCTCACCCCCTTCGTCTCCTCCCACGCTGTAATGGTTATGCCCATACCCTACCAGGCTCCTGTACAAGATAGCGGTCCCATACACGCCAACACCTTCCCCTGCCATGCCGGTCCGGCCGGCCTCCAACTCCCTACTACGGGGCCCAACAGCTTTCCCTTGGGCTCCAAACAATCTCTCAAGTTCCAGGGAAGCGCCGTGCACTCGGGCGGTTCCTGCCAGGTCTCCATCACGTACGACAACCCGCCCACCAAGGACTCCAAGTTCAGGGTTATCAAGTCCATCGAAGGCGGCTGCGTCGCGCGCAACGTCAAGGGCAACAGGTCCGGGGGCGAAGGCGCCACCATGCCCAACCCGGATGAATACGAGTACACGATCCCCGACGACATCCCCACGGGCAACGGTACCATCGCCTGGACGTGGTTCAACAGGAGCGGCCAGCGCGAGATGTACATGGCTTGCGCCCCGCTGTCTATCACGGGCACGGATAAGCCCAACGCCAAGCAGACGTTTGAGGGCCTGCCCGAAATCTTCAAGGCGAATACCTTTGGAAACGGATGTACTTTCCCCGAAGACAAGGACGTGCTGTTTCCTAACCCCGGAAGGGACGTGGTCAAGTCCAATGGTGCCACGACGGCGTGGGCCAGCCCGACGGGTGCAGGATGTGAAAAACCTACTGAGGGTGGTGGTGCTGGTGCTGGTGCGGCGGCTGCTGCTACTACTACTTCTGTCGGTGTCGGTGCCGGTGCCGGTGCCAGTGCCAGTGCCAGTGCGGTGACGATGAGTAAGTCTACTGCCGGTGCTGGTGGTGCCGTGACCACGGCTCCTTATCCCGTTGCTAATAGTACTGCGCCGGCGGCGGGTGCGGGCTCTTCCCTCCCTGGAGCGGCCTTCATCACCATTGCACCTGCGGTAGGCGGGAACACAGCCTCGACTGCCCCTGGTGCCTGGATCACCGTACCATCTACCGGTGCAGTCGTCAACCACACACTAGCGACGGCGATGTCTTCTGCTGTTGCTGCTGCTGTTGCTCCTGTCTCTTCCGCCGCCGCTGCTGCTTCCGCTCCTCCAGCAGGCTCTTCCGTCCCTGCTTGCTCTGCCCCTACGAACGTCGTTACCTCCTCCGCAGCTGTAGCTACAACTTCAGCTATCCCCAAAAGCTCTGCGCCCCCCTCAACCCTCTTAACCTCCACCGTCGCTGCCCCCTCCCCTTTGGCCACTGCATCATCCATGCCCCGCCCCGCCATGGCCTCCACCTCAGGTCAGGGGCAGACTATGCCCGAAACCCTCCCTCCCTCCGGCGCCTGCCCAGTCGAGCAAGACGGGTGGTACGTCTGCCACCTGAAACCAGGCTCCTTGTACGGGGCGTACTACCACCGGTGCGCGTCGGGTTTGTGGACAGGCATGATGGCTGTTCCTCCCGGGTTGGCGTGCAAGATGGCGGAAACCGCGGCGGATAGCCATGACGCGGCCGCGAGAAGTAAGCCTGAGAAGGCGCTCACGCTGGAGTTGGGAGATGATGATCCGCTGGAGATTATTCCGGTGACGGTGGCACGAAGGGCTCCCAGGGCTCCCAGGGCGGGTTTGGTGGATGATTATGGGAAGAGGAGTGTGGTGGTGGCGACGGGGACGGGGACGGGGACGGTTGCTGGGCCTGAGGTTACTTCTACTTCTGGGTCTACAGGAGGAACGGCTACGGATGATCAACAAGACCAAGACCAAGATCAAGACCAAGATTACTTGCCCGACTATGAGTACTACGAGGAAGAGTCGTCGTCGTCATCATCTTCAATCACCGAAGAACGTAGCCTAACGGATGACCTTGATAAGATTGCCTCGACGAAGCTGAACCTCCCCCGTTCTAATTCTGGTTCCGCCGCCTCTCCCGACTCTCACCCAGACCTAGGTCTAGAAGCCAGGACTCCAATTCCCAGAAAAAGGAAGTATCACCACTTAGCCAACCGGCCCCAGAAACGCCACGCCCATAATGAAGATAATGAATAGCGGGGAAAGATAAGCCTGGCGTATGATCAACAACTGAAAAAGGAAGATAGGGAGGGGAAGAAGCATTATGGGAAGAAGGATGATGGGCGCAAAAAGAAGAGAAACGAGTAGGACGGCGGTGATGACGGTTCGGAGATGAATTGGAAGATTATTGCTGTCGAGTGTAAGGCAGCGAATAAGTGGTTGGGGTGGATGGATTGGGAGCCCTGTAAGAGGAGGAAGTGAGAAGAAGAGAAATAGGGGTGGGGGTGGGAGTGGGATGTAGGAGGGCCCTAGAGAGGGGGCTGGGTTGTGGTGGTGGTTGTGGATGTACCTTTGGAACAGGTTGCAGGTCATTGGGCGAGATGATGGTGTACAAGTAGGAGGATAGAGGGATGAAGGAATGCAGGTCGCTAGTAGGGTTGACATGAAGGCTCTTCTTCTTTCCGCTGTTTTTTTCTTTCCTTTTTTTTCTTCATCTGTCTTTCATATACTTACAACTGTTTCTTTTCAACAAATAGGTTTCCTCATGCTTATGTGATGTCATTCGAAAAAATATAAGAAATTTAAAAAAAAAAAAAAAAAAAAGCACAGCTTGATACTCTAAGGCTTGTGCCAGACCGTGGTTTTCATGATAATGCTACTTGGTACAGTTGTTCGAGATATCTTCTGCAACTGCGAATGCGGGTCGAGGAACATGGTCGGAATGCGATGCTCCGTTTCGGAAGTTGCAACATTTACAAAAGGAACAAGAAAACCAAAAAGAGACAAGAATGCAAACATTTAAGTTGTTAATATGAAGCAAAGATACCATGTTAGGGGAAATCTCATGAATAGTTCACCGACGTTGTCGTCGAAGACATTTTTATCGCACAAAGCGAAACTCATGTACCTACATAGGCGTTGCATCCCCGCAACTTTGATACAATTTACTGCCGAAATGGCCGAGTGGTCTAAGGCGCTTGACTTAAGTTTGGTTTTCACCCGATCTTAAGGTCTTCAAGTTCTCGCGAGAGAGCGTGGGTTCGAACCCCACTTTCGGCATTATTTTTTTGTGTTTTTTTGCTCTTGCTTTTGAGGCTCCAGAGATCTTGGACCGGGACGGTGATGTCGAGGTTTTTTTTTCTTTTGCCGAAGATCTTACGAGCCATTCCCGTGTTGGCACCCGATGCCAGAGCCGACCGGAACTCTTCCGGTTCCTCGGCCCCGGCAGTGTGGGGCGCGTATCGTGGCACAAGTCACAACCCGGCCCTGATAATGTACCCCGCGCTCCCGAACCATGTTCCCGTCATGCGGAGTTGGCGGGTTCAGCCCTGCCAGGCGCGACATCACCAAGACAAGACACAACCTCGAGTTCGCAACATCAAACGATAGGGCAAACATCGCTTCACTCAACCGCCAGCCTTCGAATTCTTGTTGATTCTTTCTATCTATGTCTTCCCATCCTCCCGCGGCTCCTTTCGTAGCGCATATTTTTGCTTCCTCCATGATCGTGACCCCCGAACGTTACTCAACCCGAGAAGCCGGTCACGTCGGCCGACAGCATCGTTGTCATCGCTCATACGAACTATCAACTATCACCTCATGTATCACTTTCACCAATCTTGCAAAGTTGATCGCTTCACTTTTCTTCGATTTGGCGATACTCTCTAAGCAGTCAAACCACCTCGTCGCCGCTCTCGAGCAACCGCTCGTTAGCATCCGACGTGTTTTCGCAACTGATAATCCTCTATCAGTTCCTCTTCATTGATATTCCATCTCCCGCTCTATTTCCCTCCAAGCCTCTTACCCATATCCTTACTTAAAGATGCGCCTTAACTCCTTTCTCCTCTCCCTCCCCACCCTTCCATTCCTGGTTCTTCCCCTTCTTCAACGCCTCAATAATTTCCTTCGCGCCCCTCACTCCACTCCTCGCCGCTCCCTCCATGAAACCCCTCCACTCCTCCGCAATCTCCGTGCCCGCAAAATGCACATTGCCAAACGACTCTCTCATCACCGCATCCCCCTTTCCCGGCCCTTCATACTTCCACGTCCTCAACACCTCCTCCATCTCTTTCCCAGCCTTGGGCAGTTCCCTCGGCGCCGGAACGCCTAACCTATTCCATGTTCTAACCGTGAATGCAAGGTGCTGGTCATTCGGATCCCCTTTCTCCTTCTCCTTCTCCTCCTCCTCCGTACTACCAGGAACAGGTCCCCCCTCGGCGCCGGAATCCTCCTACCCAAAGCCTCCACCCTTTCCCCAAACCCCCTAACCAAATGCATCACGACCGGATTTTCGGCCCAGTTCTCCTTCTGCAACTCCGCCGAGTCATCATCCACCGCATAACTACTGCTAATCCAATCCCAGACCTCGTTACTCTTCTCTGCTGCGCACCAGCAGGTTAAACTCCACACCTTTTTTTGTTCGGCGTCGGCATCTTCCTCGCTCGTGTCCCGCACCCAGGAGATTGGCCCGTCTAGCTCATTCATAACGCGACAGTCCAGTGACCCCGATAGACCCGCTTCGCGCCACCATGGCTGGGTGAAGTAAAACGTTACGGTGGCGAAGTCCCCGTGGTAGTCGCTATGGCGGTTTACGGAGGCGTGTTTTTGGGGAGGAAGAGCGGGGTGGAACTTTATGTTTCCGGGGCAGTGAGCGTATATGTGGGCGTAGAAGGCCGGGGTTGTGGTGAGGAGGACTTTTTTGGCGTGGAAAGTCCTGGTGGTGGTGCTGCTGCTGCTGCTGCTGCTGCTGCTGGGGTTAAACGTGGCTTCGATTGTGCATGGGTGAGAGGAGCTGTCGTCGTGGCCGTCCGCGGTGTCGGGTAGGTTGGTTTGGGTGATTTTCTCGACGAGGGCGGAAAGATGGATGGTTTCTTTGGGAAGAAGGTCAGCGAGGTTGGTTACGAAGGCTTGCGGCCCCTGCGGGACGCGGAAATGGTTTGCACCGCCGCCAGGGGAATCGGGGTGGAAGTATAGGTTGGCGAGTCCGCCACAGGCGGCAATGTGGTCGAGGACGTAAAGAGCTGAGACGCGGGCTGGGTTAACGCCAAGGAGAAAGTTGGTGAGGAAGTGGGCTTCGTGGGCGACCACCTTGCTGTGGAAGAAATTAGCTTCCACGAGCTGGAGGAAGGAGACGGCGTCCAGGAATAAGACGTCGGGGCCGTGCCAGGTTTCGGAGAGATGGGAGATGCGGCGGTAGAATCTTTGGATTGCTGGGTCTTTGATCAATGACCTGAAGGCAAGTTCAGAACCTTCAGGCGGCCAGACGGATTTTTCAAGCGCGCGGATATGCTCGGTAATCCGGGGGCGGTCTTGGATCCAGTCGTACCGCTGTTGGAGGTCTAGTCCCTTCCTGTGCTGCTTGACGAGGTCGATGTTGAAGTCCTTGGCCAGAGAGAGCATCTCGGTGTGGATGTCGCCAATGGACGTGATCCTGGCCGTATCATGGATGGTAGCTGCGTGACACAAGCCACCGATATGGTTCTTCCGTTCGAGAACAGCGACTTTCAAGCCTGCCTTGTGCAGCTCGACAGCCGCTCTTAGACCGCTCAGGCCAGCGCCGATTATGAGCGCATCGACAACGCACTCGGAATTGCACGGCAATTCCGAACCCATCATGAGCAGGTTGTTGGCGGTGTCGAAATGAGCCGCAAGCTGAGGATGGATATGAATACTGGAATTGCGCAGATGAGCCGGATATTGAAAATGGTTGAAAGAGAATATAAAGGAGGTAAGTTTATTCTCTTCAAGATTGTCAAAGTCACCGAGGATATCGGCCAGGTTGATGGTGGTGAACCTGATGATCCATTGCAAGCACGTTCACCCGCCTAGGCTGGTGAAGAGATTCCAGGTTTTGGAGGAAGTGGCATGACAGCGGTTGCCATCTTTGTGTGTTGTGTCATTGCTGGTCGATATCGGCTGATAATGACGACCCAACATGGGCGGGTTGTTGGCTGTTGCCGTGTTGGCCCTTGAGCCTCTTTCGCTCACCAACTTCCAACCTTGGTATCGCGGCATCATAAGCGCACTTTCTGGGATGAAATGAAGAAGAGGGAAATATGTGATGACTGTGAAGGTGATGATACAATCCGTTAACGAGTTTCGTCGGTGAAATAGTCCGAGAAATTAGAAGGGGAAGACGACAGCATAAGTGAGTAGATGAACCGAAGTCGGAACGACACCAACGAGTGCCTCCATCATCGCTGCTTAGAAATAGCGTGGATCTGGAACATATTACAAAGAGATGGGTAACTGTCAGAGACAAAGAGAACCATGTTCTTTCCAAACCAACCTTGGTCATCACCTTTCAGCTTGATTAATATCGGGATAGCTTCTCGGGAAATGAGAGCAAAGAAATATAGAAAAGTGACAATTTTACGTGTGTGAAGATATCTAGAGTTATGGGAGATGTACCCGATCATGAACTGCCCTGCCATCCCGATAGTTGCTGGAAGGTACAAGTCCGGATATTTTACGAGTACAAGGACTGTGTGTACAAACGGTGTATCACCATCAAAATTACGGAGCCCAAAACGGCAAACAAACGGGACCGAAATGCACGCTTACAGAGCTAATCACGACTACACGGCATGAGATATCAAGGAATGAAGATAAATCAGACTTTCCCCATTGGCAGACGTAGCTTCAAGATCATCTGCAGACTGCAGACTATTACTCGGAATTCCAAGGCCTTCGCTTCAGATGCGAGTTAGCACTCTGGTACCCCGCGTTCGTTTCATACCGCCGCCTGGTCTGTGCGGTCCGATCCGTTTGATCAGCTGCACAATGCACAGCACCCGTGAGGTGGTGACCTGATCTTGATCCGGCACACCTCTCAAGTTTGCCATCCCGTCTCTCCGTTGGTGCTCCTGACCGGAGTCGGGTCGGGTGGTCTTGTTGCACTATCGGAGCGAGGACAAGACCCTGGAATTCTTGTGTTCCTTTGGCCACTGAACTGGCCTGTCCCACTATGGAGGCTACTCTAACACGTATGATACGCTAACAGTGACCGCCTAGACTGGTACAGCCTAACGGCCTAACCACACCTACACAGTAACAGGCAAGAACCTGGAACCTGGAAACGGCAAACCGCGCTCCAGGGGAACGTCACTGTCAGCCTCAACTCACCTCGCTGCAGCCACTTAACAACCTCGGACGTCGGGTGACCTTTCTCTCTCTAACCTTCAACTCGATTTCAACAACGAACCACCTTCGTCACTTCTTTCCATCAAAGTTCCATCGCCGTCGCCTCTTCTCACCCTTCTTCATCCAGGAACATCATCAGGATCACGGGCCAGGAGGACAAGGGATAGTTGCTGCTCTCGCAACATCCCAGGATTTACAGCACAAAACAATTGTCAACCACCACCCACCCACCCTGCCAACCAGTAGTGCCTGCATCATCATCATCATCATCGCCAGCGAGAATACAGCGTCATCGTCTCTATTGACGTCGTTGATCATTTAAAACACCATCATGCCGTCCACACCATCCAGAACCTCAAAGCGATCTGCCACCATGTCGTCCTCGTCGTCCAGACCCTCAAAACGGAGCAAAACCAGCCACAACAGCACACCTCTCCTTGTCACCCGCGTTCAACCACACCGACAATGTGCTAACCGCCCCCCTCGGTTCTGGCGCTTCCAGGAGCTGCCCGCCGAAATCCGCAACATGATCTACTCCCAAATCCTCACCATCCCCACCTCCGCCCACGACGTAGCCCACGTCTGGAATGAAAAGCCCCGTTTTGACCTCAGCCTTTTGCACGTGAACAAGCAAATCTCCGAGGAGGCCGCCTTCGTCCTTTATAGCACCAACACCTTCGTCTTCCTCGAGCCCTGTGATGAGCACAGAGACTCCCACCCGGACTCCCAGGACCCTGCCCGCCACCGCAGCTGCAGCTGGCTCCGCGCCATAGGCCCCAGAAACGCCCAGTCTGTTCGCAACTTGCACCTCCGCATCCGCGCCGAGCGCTTCTCTCATATGGAGTCCATGTCCTACAACCCGGACCTGATCCTCGAGGTGGCCGGCTTAGCACCGAAACTTACCCACCTCGCCATCATCGCCGAGAAACACGCCATGCAAACCCGCACCATCCATATCCCCGTCCCCACAGGCTATGGTGGTGGTGGTGATGGTTCAACAGGACAGCAGCAGACTGGCCAGGCTATGGAAACGCATTATCACCGCCACTGGGACCCTAATCATGTCGCGCCCATCAACACCTGGACGCTGTATCAGATGCGCATCGGCCTGCGCAAGTTTCCTAACTTGATGTGCTTGGTCCTGGCCGTGTTCCAGCGCTCCGATACGTTCTTCAGGCCCATGGTCCGCTTGATCAACAAGGACAGGCGCTGCAAGATTCATGTCGTGACCAGGAGTGCCGCCAAGAGGACTGATAGGAGCCGCCCTAACTTTTCGACACTCTGGGATGAGGAGCCTGTGTTGGATCAGATGGGCAGGTATCTTGGCAGGGGAGGGCAGAAGAAGGGTGGCGGCGGCTCCTGTAGTGGCAGCGGGAGTGGCAGTGGTGCTAACGAGGCTGATGCTACTACTGGTGGTCAGAACACTACTACTGGTCAGAATGCTGATCCTGGTGGCCAGAATGTTGCTGCACAAAATGAGGAGGAGAGTGATGATGATGATGACGATGCTGGTTCGGATGATGGTTGGCAGGATATCGAGGCTCTTATCAGTGACAGTGGAGACGAGGACGAAGGCGAAGAAGACGATATGATCATCTAGTAGGCGGATCGGGTCCGTCGCCCTTCTATCTGCTCAACCCGACTCTTTAGGACGACAACCGGCCTGACTCAAATCATTCACGCAACATCATCCCATGGATCCTCTATCTTTTGAGGTTAGGAGCGAAAATGGAAGGAGAGGAATGATGGGAAGAAAGACATTGGTGGTTTCGGTTTTGAAACCTTCGGCAGGGTAATATGGCATTTACAACCAGCGACAACGGACTACAGGACTTTTTTCTTTTTCCGGTCAGCGATGACACGGCACATTTTTCTGGCGGACATATCGACACTTCTTTTTTCCCGACACTAATTCGAAAGTTCGATACGGTTCGAATTCATCACAGCAACAGGTATATACAAGCGAGGCGGAAAGCTGCACAATTCGGTTCTATCACTTTCACGAACATAACGACATTTTCTCTTACTGTTATTAAGGGAACCAGGCGTTAAATGTTTGTTCCGGGCTGGACGGGCAGGATCTTTGAAACATGGCTTTTGCGGTGCCACACAGCACAGCGGCGGGCAAATGTGTCTTTGAATCTTTTTTCCGTTTGTTCGGTTGGGGCGTCCTTCAAAAATGAGAAAGAGGAGGATTATATACCCGATTACAGCAGGGGCAACCGACCGATATAAGTGGAAGAACAGAACAACAGCTTTTCAAGTTTAAGGTTGGAACAGGAACTAGTCGGCTGGGAATGAATGGCCGTGCACACGTTTGTGACAATGTTGTTTCTACGAAAAAAGAAACGAAAAAAAAAACAAGTATGTATCTTTTTATTGTACGTTCAGATTGCTTATACCAGACAGACCAGGACATGTTGATCATTAGCGAGAGGCAAAGCAGACTAAACTTAGTCACAGTACATAGCGGATGATCGTGTGGATACGGGAGAAGAAAAGTTAATAATGCGCGAGAATAGGTAGGTAGGTAGGGACGTAATAAAAGCGACATAAAACAAACCCAGCCAGCCCCAAAACGGCGCCTTGAATCCAAAGAACATAACCATAACCAATCTCAATCATGTGTCTATGTCGCTGAAGAATCGCTGATAAAAAAAACCAAGAAAAAAGAAAAAAAACATCAATCGTCAACGCAACTAGACCATTCTGTCACTAGCGATCCTCAACCTCCCTCTCCGCCCTCTCAAGCGGGAACACCTAGGTTTAAATCACCACACGCCCATACAAGCTCAACCTCCTCGGCGCTCCACAGAATTCCTCTTCATCACCCGCGCACAGCTCCTCGCACTGGCTATTATCAACCACTATCTCGTCCTCATCCTCACCCTCAAAAACAGCCATCACGTCCTCCTCCCTTCCGCAATAACACTCAGTCTGGAACGCCAGCCCAGCAAACTCGTACCCCGCGTTGCTGCAATACCTCGTGCACCACTCGACAGTCATATCGGCTCTCGTCGAGATTGTGCCGCTTAGGGTTCTGAACAGCGTATCATCCCACACACAACCGAGGTAGTCCCAGTCAACCAAGGGTGGTGTCATCAGCGCGAAGTCCGCTTCGCGCAGGTTGCGTGCAAGACTGATTTCGGTGTTCCAGTAGACTGAGAGTCTGTTGGCGCCGCCGCAGGTCGTACTGTTCGTCGCGTCTCCGCCGCAGCGCATGGAACATTGTCTATCTGACACTGCAAATGCTCGTTTGAGGTAGAACTCGTCGGAGTCGGAGTCGGAGTCGTTACCGTCATCGATAATATCGCGATCGTAGAGCCTAGTACCGCAGAAACACTGAGTGCCATACTCGACGCCAAACCACGGGTATCCATCCCCCTCGCAGCTCAAGCGGCATTTCTCCAGCGTCATGGCCGGGTCGTAAGTAAATTTGCCCGTTAAACTGTGCTGGCCCGTGACGGGAGAATCGGTGTAATATCCCTGATAGACGTAATCGCCGACATCAGACGGCATCTCCAGTTTTCGACCATAGACAGTGACGCGGTTCGTGGCGCCACATATTTCTGAGGGCGCGCCGGCGCAGGGCGTGGTACATTATTTTGCTGCGTCTTCATTCGAGTCGGAAAACCGTTGGGAGTCCAAGGGAGGGGAGGCGCCGCACCAATATTCCCGCCCGTATTCAAGGCCGAAATACGGATAGTTGAGGGAAGTACAGTGGGCGGCGCACTTGGCTGCCGTCAGGGTGTCGTCGGCTAGAAAGGCGTTGGGGAGTAAACGGGGGGAAGACTCGCGGTAGCGACGCTGGGAGGACGGAAGAGGGTGTTGGTGTAGATCTCGATGCGGGAGCTGGCGCCACATGATCGAGCGGCGTTGCCGGAGCAGGGGAGGGGGCATTCGGTGTCCGGGACACGGGCGGCGAGGGTGCTGGGGGATGTGGAACTGAAGTTGGCAGCAAAAGAGGCGCACCAGCATTCTCGCCCGTATTCGACGCCGAAGTAGGGAGAGGAGGAGCCGCAGAAGATGGCGCACACTTCGAGGGTGAGGGTGTCGGAGGCTGTGAAAGCGCTGGGGAGCAAGCGGGAAGAGGCGGAGTCACCGCGGTAACAGCCTAGACGGACGCCGGGGAGGGTTATGGCCCCGGTTATGGAGGAGGTGTCGTCGTCGTCATTGCTGTCGTCAATTTCTAAGTTATTAAAGGTGGTGGTGGTGTTTTGGCGCTTGAAAAGGGTGCCATTGGATGGGAAGTGGGAGGAGCGGGGTTTGAGTTGGTTCAGCTTGGTATCGATGGCTCTGGAGTTGGCGTTGCTGTCGGAGTTGGTGTTGGTGTTGGTGTTGG